AACTGAAAACAGGCTAGACTAATCGATTCTTGGGATTTAAGAATCGATATCGTTCCGTAAAAATGAGAATCAATTAAAATGGAGATATCGATATTTTTTACCCAGCCCTAATCTATATATATATATATATATATATATATATAAAAGAAATCATATGTTTTCCTGAATGTATAATTTGGCTAAATCTGGTAAGTAGGGCATAGTATAAGCTCAATTCATGAAAATGGATCAACAAATAGGCAGGCTAACAAAAGAACTGGTTCATTCAGAGCTAGACTAATGCCGATGAAAGACCCTTTAGACAAATACTGTGAGTCATTCACACAGATGCTGTCCATGTGTACTCCTGCTGTCCCCTTACATTACATACTACGGCGCATATGTACAGCTCCCTGTCAATATTGCATATTTTAAAGGTAAAAACAAATCAAAACAGACAATGACAATCTAAGCAAGGATTTGGGCAGTCTTCCGCTCATGGCTTTGCTCTCTATCTGACCCTGTGTCTGATCTTTATTATGTGTACTGGATCTCATGTCCCTGGAGAAGACAGTGAAACCAACACACACACCCACGGGCACATCAAACCGCAGGAAAACCAATCCATCATCCTGTGTGTGAGGAAGACAGAATCCAGCGCAGGTGTTCGGAGCGTTTATGGCTTTTAATGATCAGGTTTCAGTCAATATTGATTATGTGCATGAGCCTTTCATTTGGACTGAACAATGCAACAGCATTTTCACTATTATGTCATATTTTCTGTGCTTTCAGTTTGAGGTTAGCATAAGGTGTTTCAGCAACATTAATCGATATATTACAAACAAACCAAACTCAAAATGTTTAATGCGTTAGTGGTGAATGATGTGGGCATAATAATGAGTCAGTGACAAATAAAGATGTCCAAGATGATGAAAAGGATAAATGTTTTTAGAAATATTTAAAATATTTTAGTTTAAAAATGTCCTTAATAATTTTCAACAGTATTTTATTTAATTTAAAAAAATCATGATTTTCCCAGGTAAAATATTTTACCCCATTTGACCTGGACAAAATGTTTCTTTTCATAAAAGGTCAAAATTTATGATTAATACAATTTACTTACTAACCAAGATGGTCCTTTTTGAAAACTGTTTTGTGGGGGTTTTGTCACCTGACCAAAAAACAACTTCCTGAATCCAAACTGACTTTGATTTGGAGGACAAATAAGTTTTTCAAGTATTAATGATATTTTAAAACAAAATTGCTTCACTCATCATTGATTATTAAAAAAACAGTATTATATGTAATTTTATAATAATTGTAAAATAAAATATGCCAAACTACTTTTACCAGCATTATTTTCCCCCCAACCATACATTTTTTTTATGAGTTGCATTTTATGTATTTATATAACTGGATTTTTGAATGGGATTAAAAATTACTCCTATACTTATATGAAGAAGGTATTTGTGTTAAATATAAAAGTACCAAATGTATTTAAATGTATTAGGCTACAAATAAAATACATTAAATGCTTCTTTCAAATAGATGAATAAGTAAACAGGCGTTTGATCATGGCAGAGTTTATATTTTCATTATAATTTTTTTTTTGTTCAAATTTGTGAATGTAACGATTGAAGTGATTGAGTAGCCTACGTTTTACAAGAAAATAGCCTACTATTTACTTGCCGTTTCTTAATCATTTGTGAAATTTACAAGCAATTTCTGATTGAAAATGCAATGACAAAAAGAGAGGGTTACAGTTGTAATAACATATTTAATTGACTTTTCAGAAGCTTTTAAAACAAGTATCGCCATATCCTGCTGCATAAGCAAAATATTTCTCTAAAACGAAAGCACCTACAACCGTCATCAGTCTGTCTGTACTAAACGCCATTCTGTTCCTGAACGCTCTCTCAGCTAGTATGCACTACACATGACAGATACAGCTACTACACCTCTGAGGGATGCGCATTTGGTGCTCTCATTGTCCTTTATTCAACCAAACATGAACCACTCCTCCATTTAACGATCCATCTGGAGATGCGAGGCAGCTGCATTCGTTAAAAGCACGGGCACTTCCTGGGCAGATCAGTTCACCAGCTGGAGCTTTAAGCAATGGAATATAATGCACTGGTGATCAATCACAGGGGTGAGGCTTTGCCAAAACGTATATATTGAGCTCATCTCTAGAACTAGAAGATAGAGTTATGCAAACATCCCATCAATTTTATCCTCATTACGCCTATAAATAACAAAACGAGCAAAATAAAACAAAAACGCAGAGGTCTGTCGACAGAACCCTGCGTAATTCCTCAAACGTCCGTGCAGGATAAGGGCGTTCCTGTGTGATAGACCATCTTTACATTGGTGCATCAAGGTTTTTTGGTGCTTGTCTGGTTCTCGTGCTATATATTAATACATTATGCAATGAGAAAAAACCTATTCATGTCATGATGCACAATGCGCATCCGCAACATCCCGAGAGTAATGTCCTCCCCGTTCAGCACAATGGCAGGGAAACAACCAGCCACATCCAGGGGGAACCGAAAGCTGAGGAACACTAATGACACATGCAACGGGAAGGTACCATAAAATAGCACGCACATATGGTTGAATATGAAACCTCAGTAGCCGAGGATTAACATTATGGTCTTACTTTCGCCAACGACCGCCTTTAATCCAATTGGTGCCATGATGCTCTGAGTGTTCGCCCGTGTGCTATATCTTCGCCTCCCTCTCCTCTTGCTGTCTCTGGCAGAGCGGTGCTTCGCACTCACAGCAGCTGACTGCGGAGATTCGTCACTGCTTAAGCGCCCCTCCCTCACATGCGCTCGTGCTACCGAGCACCGTTATATGCTGCGCGTTTGCCAAACGCTGAGGGCGCAGACACAGAATCACAAGTGAATCCCTCCTTGATTTCACGCTGATTGTTCATGCCATGATCAGTGGAGGTTGTAAAATACCCTTGCAACTGTTTCCACTGTTCATTGACCGCTACGTGACAAAAAGAGCAGGTCACTCAATTAGAGAAGCAACTAAAGGTTACACTGAATTTTAATTTCACTGACTACGAAGCAAAGCAGTTTTAGTTTACTTCATCAAATTAACAACATAAGTTGTTAAAATAAGAATAAAAATTTAATTAAATAAAGATATACTGTTATATTTTACTAATGTCATGTAAAGTATCATATGTGTGATCTTATTCCTAATCTGATTTTGTTCCACCACCATGTCCCTTTAGGGGCTCCGTATATATATAATATTATATATCAATGCATATAAATATTATTCAATCAAAATGTTTTTTGTTTTTTTAAATAAAAGTGTCTTTTAGTATAAAAGTAGGCTAATTTAAACTGTTGTTTTTAGGAAATTACAGGTGCATCTCAATAAATTAGAATGTCGTGGAAAAGTTAATTTATTTCAGTAATTCAACTCAA